GCCAAATGTCGTGTCCCGTCCAACGCATCGCAATACAGCAATCCAGTGCACCTCAGTGGGTTTTCATTGCCAACATCCCGTGAAAAGGTGCCCATGACCAGGTGGAGGTACGGTTTAAGTGTGGTTTTCAAAATTGTATGCCGTGATCACGCAAAGACTCACCACAATTTTCCGACGCCAAAGGCGCGCTTTGTACCTCGGGAATATAGGTTTGTGCGTCCAATTTAAAAAAAAAAATACCAAGCAGAACGACAGGTTTGGCTTGAAGACATATCACGCTCCAGGTGATGGACTAGGTAGCAGCAACTTAAATAACGGGGAGCAGTTGAGAAATATTGTTAGAATTCAAAGGGGGAATTCGGGCGAGTACCCAACTCTTCTAGACCTCTTAAGTTCCAAAGTTCACCAAATTGTTTCAACAGAACATCGAATGTGTTGCGTCGTGCGTCCAAAGCACAATCACAGGCTGCGGGGTTCAGGTACATAACTTGAAGGCATGCGGGAGATCGGTGCAGGCCCCCGATGAAGTTGAAAACCAAGCATTCATTACCTCGGCAGATCACATTTAACACGTGGCAGACCTGATAGTTTTCTACACCCGTCACCCGTCACCTACCATTCACTCGACGATACCACAGTCCGTGATTGTCACTGCGGACGACGGGTTACCGCTACTCGAACCCTTGGACTCGATCTTTTTGACGACATTCATGCCCTCGACGACCTCGCCAAAAACGACGTGTTTGCCGTCGAGCCAAGACGTGACGGCCGTCGTGATGAAGAACTGGGTAATACGCGGAAGGGTTGAGCACACCTTGGATCTGGTAGAAAGGAAGGAGGGCGGTGACTTACTTGTGACCCATTCGTGTTGGGACCCGCGTTCGCCATCGAAAGCAAACCTGGCTTGACATGCTTCTGGACAAAATTTTCGTCTACATGCGGAAATGCAAGAAACGGTAAGCGATGAAGACAAGTATCGTTTTATCAGTCAAAAACAGTACTAGACGGTCACCTACCATCGAAGCGGTTGCCATATATCGACACACCACCAGTTCCATCGTGTCTAGTAAAGTCGCCTCCTTGAAGCATGAACTGCACGCGAACAAGCACTCTTCAGTACCGTGTCGACACGGCGAAACACGACTACAGACCTGTGGGATGATTCGGTGAAACGAGCTTCCCTTATACCCGATTTTCTTTCCATCCTTCTCCGTGCCTACAGCCAACCCGCGGAAGTTGCGAGCTGTGAGTGGGACGGTGTCGTCGTAGAGCTTGAATATGATACGTCCTGCGGGATTAGAGGCTATCGAGACGTCAAACTATGAGTGTACGTAGTCAGACTTTCAGGCGCATCATACAAGAGGAGTAGGACGTGCAAAGACGTTTGCTCTGTGTGTTTTGGCTAAGCAACACATCCCCGACCTAAAAAGAAAATACACACCCGGTAGCAGCTGACGTTGCGGCGGCGGCCGACGCAGTGGAAGACGCGAATCTACGGAAAATGAACGACATGAATGACGGGGATGGTGGTGGTTGCTGTATTAAAGGACACGAAGGAAAATAGAAATTGTTGAAGGAGCGTGACGTAAACACAGAAGAACAGATTATGTAACGCAAATTAACATTTTCCTTCCGGACTGCCAGACGTGTCGAGGATGGTTTCGCGTTCATTGCTTTCAAGTCGGATTGGCGCAGCATCGAGGCATGCCCGACGACCAGCTCGTCAGAATATCCGATTACTGGCCTCCGTGTCGCCATCAAAACAACCAGAGCCACAGGTCACACCACCAGCACCAGCACCAGGCAAGGCGCAGTCGTGGCTAACACACAGGGTCAAGGCAAGTCCAGTCCTATACGCCGTCTTTCTTGGCCTTGCACGTGCTCTTGGATACGCCTCGTCCAAACAACTCGCGAACAGGCGCGCATTTTACATGTACAACACCTTGTGTGCCACGCGTGCAGACCAAGAAGCCGATTTCTGGAGAAAAGGTATCACTCCTGATTTTGCCTTTTACTGCTTTACTCATACTTTACACTCTCGAGAATGTGCACTCCCTCCTACTTTCCAGTCTTGGTTTACTGTTACTAATCTACACGTATGGCTCCTCACCATCCGTTTACGGGCCTTGCCTTCACCCCACGGATTGAACCACATACAAGGGTTGATCGACCACTTTTTCCAAGATGTTGAGGAGCGCGTTCGTGCTGTGCTTCAGCCTGGCGTTCTTCTGCCTCGTTCGATATCCGACACACCCCTCACACCATCCTCGTCCTCTGTAATCAAACACCGGGCAGAGTTCGATAAATACGTCTCCCCGTATCCTAGCAGTACCTTTTATACTTTCCCTTCTCCTATTCCGCCACCCGACTCGTTTCCATCTCCTGCTGCATATGTCAAAGCAGAGAAAAGAGCGAGAGCGCCAGAGAGACTGGTAACGAGACAGATGAAGATATTCAAGGAACAGTGGGCAGGTCTGGGAATGAGCATGGACTTGGGGCTCGTAAGAGGGGACACGGAGATGGCAGCTGCGATCTGGAGAAACTTATTGGGTGGGAGAGGGGCGAAGGGGATCTCCCTTCCCGGGGTAGGCCAAAACCCCTGCCCGAGCACGGCCGAAAACGCGAGTGAACCGCAGTTCAGACGTTCCGTGAACCTCGTCGGAGGTCTCATGGAAAACGTGGAGAATATTGAAGTCGCTGTTGAGGAAGCCAGAGACGACTTGAGTGGCGTTTACGACTTTGGTGTGAACGAGAGCGATCGGTGAGGTCTTTTAGTGTAGCTATTGCGTTGCTTCGTCGCTCACCGAGTCCAGGTACATTGCTTACCCCGAGCTGATGGAAACGCTCGTCGTTTACCTCAGACATGAGGCGCAGCGACTCGAGCAGATTCCCGACGAAACTATCCTTGGACCACGGGTGGTGGGTAGGGAAGGCGAAGGCGTGAAGAAGCTGATGTGGGGAAAGGTGAGACCTTAGAGCTTTACGCAGTCATGTGGTCTCTCTTGATCTACCGTGAAAACCCATGATCTTTAGCGCATAATCAGAACATACCTCTGCTGCAACCTTACTGTAGTATACTGGTATTTTTATCGTCATAGCAAAACGCACCGTCTCATTTTGCGCGCGGCCGTCCTGCGGTCAGCGACCTGCACAACAGCCACTTGACCAAGTTTGCGTCGGATAACTTACAGTGGCTTGCCTAAGAAGTCAACAGCTAATTATACGGCGCATGTGAAGGATTAGGCCACCCGAATATGCCTAGTGACTCTTATCTTCGCAGGATCAGAACACCTGCCGATTCGTTCCCAGCTTCGCTTTGTACGAACGATGTCGGAACGGTTGAGACCACTGCGCGCCACGGTCAATTGCGACATGGGGGAGGTAACGCTGATCATATGTCATCTAGTGTGTGATTTGTGGCTAACTTGGAAATCTGACCAGGGTTTCTCTCTATACACTATCGTGGGTAGCGTCCGGAATGCTTGTATCATTAACGCCATTTGGTCTAAATGACGGACAAAGGGCGACGATGAGAGCCTCATGAAGACCATCCACTTGGCCAACATTGCTTGTGGATTCCACGCATCGTAAGGTTGAAACTAATCTTGGGAGTCACAGTGCTGATTTGGACATCTCCAGAGACTTTTCGGTCATGAATAGGACCGTGGTTCTCGCCAAGGTTAACAACGTCCTCGTTGGTGCTCACCCTTCCCTTCCCGATCTGCAAGGCTTCGGGCGACGCGAGATGGCTATCGAACCGGTGAGACGACTCATCCTGCCGCGGTCGGTCGTGTTGATCTCCCGGTCCAGGATGAACTGGCGTGTTGCTTCATCTACCAAGTCGGCGCTTTGGATGGTTTCCTGAAGCGTCACGGACTCCCCCTTAACCACGTCCGTAGCCTGGTACTTGGAAATGCTGACTGACCCTTTTTTCACATTCTTCCAGATCAAGCCACATGGTGCTGTTTACGGACAGACCGCACGCAACATCGACCTCGCCCGTGCGGTCGTTGGCGTAGCGAAAGTTTTCAATGGCAGTGCGCCCCAGCCTGACAGAGGTGTAGCCTTCATGGGTCTCGCAGGCACTGCGCACCAGCAGGCGGTAGAGGAAATGGGTGTGCCGTTCATCGCGGGTAAAGCTTTCTGGCTTCTTTTCTCTTTCCTCATTAGGTCCTACCCTTCCACATCGTCGTGCATATTACTGACTGCGACCGGAATAGAGTGGTTCGCCGACCTTGACTATAGCGACGAAGGAAAGTTGTTGATCACAAAGTACGCTACCAATCATACCGAACGTCTGTTTGCACTGACATGTTCCGCGCACGATGTGATTGTACGACGCTGACCATAGGAAGCACGATCCTGTCCCAACCGGAGTAGTACAGCAACGGGTAAGTTTCCCTCAAGGACGGAATTGTCAACGCTTGTAACACCACCTTCGTAAGGTCAAAAATTTGCTCGACTTGCATGTGGTCACGACCGTGAGCGGTAAACTCTTACCTATTGGCCCAAATGTCTCCGAGGTGTCGATCTGCTGTCACTCTGATACACCTGTAAGTGTTGACGAACATCATCTCTGAATTCCACATGACATACAGTATATCTCAGGGTGCCATTGAGATTGTACTTGTAGTCAAGGCGTTGGTAGATCAGAGTAACAAAGCGGCTGGGTATGTTTGACGTGTAGGAACGACGAGTCGGAGCTGTTTATAGGCTATCAAGAAATCTACACATTACTCGAAGCACGCTCATGGCACACTTACCGACACCTTTGAGCCTTCACTTTCTGCAGCTTATCGCGCACTCGAACACTTATCTACACTCGAACAAACATGCTGCAGTACTACCCTTGTTAAGCACGTAAGGAAATATAACATTCTGAGGGACACATTCAAGAACTAGCGAGGAACTCGGAGTACCTCAGACTGCATTGGCTAAGAGATCGCAGGTTAATAATTGCGCTCTAGCTCACGGGGAAGATCGAAGCGAAAAATAGCTAGGCCCGCTTAGCTCAGTGGTAGAGCGCGTCACTTGTAAGACTGGTCATGATGAGGTCGGTTGTTCAATCCAGCCAGTGGGCATCATTTTTGTTTCGGGTTCTACCTGGCTTCCTGCTACCGAAGTGAGTAGGCTATCCATTCTAGGTGATTTTCCAGTAGAACTCCCCAATAATAGTACATTTTCAGCCAGAACTTTCATCCATCTATGGTATCTCTATCTGATTTGACGTCTTCGTAGTTCACTGCAGCGGACGTCCTGTATGATACATTTTTCTTGCCGAGACATCTTAATCTACAGATTAGACACAAAGTGCACTGGATCGCAGATCCTGACTCGCAAAGCCATCTCCCCTCGCGTGCTGCCGAAGTAAAGCCGTATCGCGCGCTTCGACGAGACTATCGTCTGAATTCATGAATAATAAGCTCAATTACCACGAGTGGAAGTGAACCAATCCGTTACCCTGATTGCACATATCCTTTTCAGAGGTAGAGCTCATGATGTCATCACTCCGATTGTTCTCAATGTTCGCAAGGGTGATAGGCGGATGCGAGTTTCCTCTCCACCCGTCCAGGGCGTGTGTACATTGCTGTTCGTGTTCCACAGGCAGAAGGTTCAGAGACGTATTTGCCTCTCGCCGATGTTCCTTCCCGGCCCATATGGTAGCGAATACGACGCCGAAAGCAGAGACTCTGGCGTTCACTAACGCGATATCATTTACGAGGAACGGGTGCTTGGCCCCGACTCGGAAAAGCAAGACCAGCTGAACGACGGATATCAGGGTTGGGACGATGAAATTTGAGAGTGCGAAATTTGTAAGAATTCGTATGCGTGCCGCGAGAGATGCTATACGGAACGAAAAGATAAGTAAACGTCAAGCATGAGTGGCGGAGAGAGATCAGTTACATTGGCGGAAGGTGAGAGCACTCATAAGACTCCATGGCATGGTGTCGGTTTTATAAGTCCGAATGGTCCAGATGAAGGCAATGGATGCATAGCTACAAGTAAAGAAGCTTTCAGAATTCGTGCGATGAGGTCAAAGAGAGGGGTACCCACCTGTTGTCCACCACTTGGGCGATCCACTCGATCTTTATGTATGGCAATGTGAGCCATGCAGTGCCGATCGCTTGAAGAGCATTTGGATCATTCGCCATAATGGTCAATTGATTCATGTACAGAATTGAGTTGACCACACGAGCAACCTTGAGTGTTATCGGAAGAGACGTGAGGAGCGCGAACCGCACAAAGCCCACACGACTCAGCGGGTGTACTGTAATAAGGCGAACAAGTAGGATGGCATCCACCAACATCGCTTGGAAGTTACCGGTAAATCCGGCGGCTATTTGTAACTGCGGCATATCATTGAAGCTCAATTTCTGAAAATGGTGTTCAAGGTTGGGAGCCAACATACGTGTACAGGCCATATGATTTGCGGTGAGAGTATCATATGAATCTATGTTGCTGATCAGTCCCTATATGCTGGTGAGTTCGGGATGTGATGCTTACATTCACGGCATCTGAAACCACCCCTGCAGTGATAGCCAGTGCGACTGCAAATACGTTGAGGATGAAGATAGGTCGACGGCGACTGTAAGGAGTGGAGTAGTAGAACAATGCAACCAGGAGAGGCATGAGGAGAACTAAGAATGTGTGTCCAATCATGAGAGCGCGTAGGCAAGGTCTGACAGTAGCAAGAGAATTCATTCCCGGGGGAAATGGGTTATTGCCAGCCTGGGTGTTATTGGCCATCATAAGGGTTCGAGACGAAAAGTTTTGTGTACAGCGACAAGGCTGATTATGAAAAACGTTAGCCCTAGCGTGAGGAAACAGGCTGAGCAGCGTACAGTGTGCCTAGTTAGTACAGCTGACAGACAATGAAACATTGCGACAACCGATGGGAATACAATATGTAATGGTTCCCCCTGCGCTTTTACCTGCATGTCCTCAAACTTGCTTTGACGATTGGCGGAATCAGTCAGGAGAGAGACCAAATGTAGGTGGACAGCTTTATCTGCAGAGGTGACTCAGCATGAACGCAAAGAGCATGGGGTTGGAAGGCGACTCTAACACTACGAGTGTTCTGCTGCACCTCATCAAAAATGGACGAGAAGGGGAACTCACACATTCAGGAGTCCTTAAGGTGCCTAGGGGACTTCACTGGTTGCACGGTGGCGCATCAGAATCTAATCCTTCAGCTGACCCACAGGGAAAGCCCTTAGCTTAGTTCTCAGGAATCTGGAGTCGACAGACAAGACAGACCAGAGTTTGTAAGCCACTCATCCCTCAGGCCTCAGCGGCGAATCAATGGGTTGGCTACCACCCGCCTCTTTGGCCATGGGACCAACTCCCTTCACAAAAGGCGATATTCAGTTCCTTACACATGAAATTATGGCAACTTGTGCAACCCCACTCTTCCTCGTGACGAAAGCGGGTTTACAGGCTCGCCGAGCTCTTGACAACCGTGGAATTGGTCGATGAACCAATTTCGACATATACAGTTGATGGTGGCAGGGGTCCCAATCATTGAAGGCAGAGTTTGGCACGTTGTGTGCCGCTGACAAGCCAATTACACTGGGCGATGATGGTTGTGCCCGAATCGCGCCAGTGAGAATCACATTCCATCGATTTGACCAATCTCTCTCATCGAGAGCAATATTTGGGTGAGCAAATTTCATGCAGACGACTAGTCCATGCATCATTCACGGTTTTTCCGCTGCCAGCGTGATCTTAGTAGAGGCAGTGCTGTTGTGGACCTTGTTTTATCGACCAGTCTCCGTTAGAAAATGATTCAAGCAACATATCAGCGGTTCGTGGTTCGATCCAAAGTACCGCGATACTTTCCTACGGATGCACCGTCATGCTGGGGGTTGTGCAGACTCTTGTTTGTTTGATCCTTGGCAGCCCGGGCCGGGATACGTCGAATACAGGTGTCATGGTACATCCTTTCCACACTCAGGTGTTTCCTTGCGACTCTCCTGCAGTACGTGAGGGCTCCGCCAGGTAATGCACTCCACTTTTATCTTCATAGGTCGGGTCCCGAGCGAATGTCCTCCCCGCGGAGACATCTTTATATCCACGAGGCGATCTAGTACCATGCATGTGTATTAACGATGAACTCGTGGCAAGTGCATTTATAATTATGATCATCTGGTTCCACATGGAAGCTCAATGTTCCGAGCGTTTATTCGAAGCTAATTCTCACACGTCAGTCCAGCGTCTTTCTTGCTCGTCGTCCTCTGTCAAATCAGCTCGGTTCGATCGTGCAGGTAAACTGAAACCTTGGATGGAGTGTCCTTTCTTTGGATACCCCATTGCACGTGCATTGATCAGTGAGTAGCCATTCTCTTCCAGGATTTGCGCATTCTTCGCTACCTACCCTGCTGCAGCATTACGAGTCGGGGATGGTTTCATTGATGATCCATTATCGGCTCCCGGAAGGGCGAAGCTATGTTCTCGCAGATCCTAGCCACTCGGGCCCAGATGCAAACTTGGCCTCGCACCGCATGGTACATCTCACCTAGAATCGCCGTGAAACCTTCCCATCGTCGCTATATCGGTGTCCTTCATTCACTCCTGAGGCCCATAAATACAGTGAGTCGACACACATCACAATCAGCATCGTGTTCATCTCTGCTACAGCTCCGTGATCGTTATGAAGATCCCAGCAGCAACCTGTGGCCTTGTTCTTCCGTTTTTCGCAAGATCCGTGTTGGCGGGCGCAACGTACAGTCTCAGTGATAGCATCGTTGGCGAGGGATTTTATAATGCCTTCAACTTCGAAGCTATCCCGGATCCCACCAACGGTCGCGTGTAAGTGGTGTCTTGCTTGTTCTTGACGAATTTCGTATGCCCTTTCCACCAGGAATTACGTTGACCAGGCAACCGCTCAGAGCCTGAACCTCACATATGCCACAAGTAACACTTTTATCATGCGTGCAGACGACACAACCGTTCTCTCTTCAAGCGGCCCGGGACGGAATTCGGTTCGGATCCGTACTAATAATCAATACACCACCCACGTAGCGGTGTATGCATGACTGCATGTTCCAGATTTGGCACATTTTGGTGACATATATTTCCTTTTAGGTTTGACATGCCACACATGCCCCAAGGATGCGGGTAAGACTCATTCTCATTCCAATACAGTTTGCATTCTCATCTTGAATATTTCATTGACGCTCGAAGCACGTGGCCTGTGAGTTTTGCTCCCGTGTCGCTGGTGCTCATATGAAGCAAGTGAAACTGACATTCAGATTTAGGCTGTTTGGGAGACTGCCGAATCCAACTGGCCCGATGGCGTACGCTTGTCCGATATAACGTAAGGTCCCCCGCACTAACAGTCTTGCAGGGTGAAGTCGATATTGTTGAGGGTGTGAATAATGTAGAGCCGAACCAATCGACCCTCCATACGAGCCCCAGTCAGTAGATTTATTGCGCGTCACTGACAGTAAGTGGCTAATGTCATTCATCCTAGATTGCTCGATGCCTGCTTCTGGCGTCACGCAGCTCGGGTGAGGAGGAAATGCACATGCTTTGATCATGTCTTCTTAACGTTTGTGCAGGACGGCCGTTTATACAGATTGCGATACTACAGGTGTGTAGTACCCGAATCCCTCCTTCCAGTAAAGCATGGTTTACTGTTACTAGTCAATGGCAATGCGGGATGCGGGGTGAAGTTGACTGAGGACTACAATAGCTTCGGACCCGGGTTTAATAACATTGGTGGTGGATGGTAGGCGATCAAATCTTACGAGTCAATGAACTGTCTCAAGAAAACTTTTTAGGTATGCCATAGAACGCACTAACAACTACATCAGTATCTGGTTCTGGGAACGGGGTGATGCATCAGCGCCTAGTGATGCAACTAGTGGTGCTGCCACTATCGACACCAGTAACTGGGTGGGTCGAAGTTCCTCTTCTGTCCACGCATTTCCTGAGAGGATTGCTTGCAGGGAACGCCCGCTGCATACTTCCCTAACACAGACTGTGACTTGGCAACCCACTTTGCTGCCAACGATATCATTATTAACCTGACGTTCTGTGAGTGCTCTTAAGCAATCTCGCGCGGATTCAGAGGACTTAG